GCATTGAGCCCTGCATTGGGCTCTGTGCTGAGCCAGGAGACTGCTTCACCCTCTCCCGCTGCCCCTCCCCTCTGCTCGCGTGTTCTCTCTCTCTCTCATGAACAAATAAAATCTTTGAAAAAAAAATTATTAAAAAAATTCTTAGCTTGGGTCTTTCCTGAAGGCACCTGCCCAAACCTCCTGCTTGGGTCTGCTTCTAGCTGGGTGATGGCCATTCCCTATCCATCAGTTCCAGTAACTGGCAACTTCAGAAAGCTCCAGAGGTTTTTCCTGGTGGCTGCCTCACTTCTCTCCCTGTTGTATTAGTGGCCACTGTTGGTGGATGGCGCGATATCCAGCCAGATTCCCCGCGCTGCCCACGGCGCTCATCTCCAGAGGAGCGGCTTACCGTTTCAATGTTGTCTCAGGAACCGGTGTCTGCCTGCTCCTGTAGCCTTGCCCAGAGCTGAGGACTTGGGGCTTACGTGCCCCCGTACCCCCAGTGGGGGTGGCCTGCAGTCAGTGACTAAAGGACACAGGGGCTCTAAAGGCCTGGCCCCCTGTGTCATGTATGGGGAGGAATGACTCTGCGATCCCCACCCCCTTCAGCCAGGGAATCAGGCTGAGTCTAAATCTCCATCTTCACTTTGCTTCTTCCCCTGTCCTCCACTGCTTCCGTCCTGTCTTTACCTTTTTCTCCCGAGAGCCCTCCCTCAATAATTCACTTGCGCAAGAATCTGTGCCCGGGGCTCTGCTTCCGGGGAACCCGACCAGAGACACTGCCAGTCACCTCGGCCTGTGGTAATAACCCTCACGAGGCTCAGAGACCATTACCAAGCCATTGCGTGTCCTCTCTGTCCCCCACTTAAGTAATTAGCTCCCTCCCAGGGCCTGTTTTCTAGCATCTTATCAGAAGCTGGCATGGGAGTGAAAGAATGATAAATGAGAGAGGGAGCCGAGGGGGCCGTGGGAAGCCGAGAATCGCGGTCACCTGGGAGCTGGGACTGTGGGAAGGTCCTCCTCCGAACCGAGCATCAGGACCACAGGCTGGGGGCACTGATTCGCCTCTCCTTCCTGCATATTTGCACCCTGAAGTCAGGCAACCCAAATGCCTACAAAATAATGTTAGTGCCGCTTGCTAGTGATGCAGTGAGCTCAACAGAGCAAAAGCTGGACACTTGGACATACAGAAGAATTTGCAACCTGCGTATGCATTGCGTCGTGGGTTTGGAGGGGCAGGAAGGCAGTGGAAATTCACACGGGCCGCCGATGTTGGCCTGCCCTGGTCTGTTATAGAAACAGCCACCAGGAACCATTGTCCTGCTCACTGCCTGTTGTCTGAACACTTTCTTGACAAGTATCTATTGACATCAGAGCCTTCATGTTTCTTTCTGCAGTGTACTTCCCTGAATACTGTTGGTCTTTCTTTCTTTTTTAAGATTGTATTTATTTATTTGACAGAAAGAGACACAGCGAGAAAGGGAACACAAGCAGGGTGAGTGGGAGAGGGAGAAGCAGGCTTCTTGCCGAGCAGGGAGCCCGATGCGGGGCTCGATCCCCAGACCCCAGGATCATGACTTGAGCCGAAGGCAGACGCTTAACGACTGAGCCGTCCAGGCGCCCTCTGAATATGGTCTTTCCTGAAACCATTGAGTGGGCAAGTAATACTGCTGTCAAGTTGGACTTTTCTTTTCTTTCTTTTTTTTTTTTTCTTTTTTAAGTAGGCTCCATTCTCAGCCCCCAGATCAAGAGTTGCATGCTCTACCAACTTAGCCAGCCAGGTACTCTGGACATTTGGTTTTTAACTCCCTTTCTTAGCTCTGTGAATGAAATTACATGTGGCCTGTTCCTTCCCTTTAGAGGTCAGGGCTGGAGGAGGCCTTGAAAGGGGATTTCAGATATAATTAAGGATGCTTTGGTTCTCTATGAAAATTACTTGAGATTTCAATACAAAATATACACTAATTAGAGAAACATGTAAAGAAACACAACTTTCTGTGTAAATTTTAGCTCACAAATACATGCTTACTCCTCTTACAATTTTTATTCTTGGGCTTTGAGGAGAAACTTTAATTTATTCCCAACTATATTTCTTGGCATTTTGAAAAAATGACAGGTCTGTACCCAAAGCAATCTACAGATTCACCATAATCCTTATCAAAGTTCTAGTGGCATTTTTTACAGAAATAGAACAATCCATCTTAAAATTTGTATGGAACCATTAATGACCCTGAAGAGCCAAAGCAATCTGACAAAGAAGGACAAAGCTGGAGGCATTATGGACCCTGATTTCAAACTATACTTCAAAGCCACAGTAATCAAAACAATATGGTACTGGCATAAAAACAGACACACAGATCAATGGAACAGAATGGAGAGCCCAGAAATAAACCCATGCGCATATGGTTAATTAGTTTATGACAAAGGAGGCAAGCATATACAGTGGGGAAAGCATAGTCTCGTCAATAAATAGCATTGGGGAAACTGGACAGCCACATTCAAAAGAATGAGACCGGACCACTATGTTATACCATCCACAAAACTCAACTCAAAAAATGGACTAAGGAATTGAATATGACATTGGAAACCGTAAAATTCCTGAAAGAAAACACTAGTGGTAAGCTCCTTGACCTCACTCTCTGTGATATTTTTTAGATCTGAGTCCAACGACTAGGCCAACGCAGTGGGATTATGTCAAACTAAAAAAACTTCTGCACGCCCAAGGAAACCACCAAAGAAATAAAAAGGCAAACCTATGGAATGGAAGAAAATATTTATAAATCATATATCCAATAAGGTATTAATATCCAAAATAGACAAAGAAGTCACATGACTCAAGAGCAAAAACCAAACAGTCCGATCAAACAACAGGCAGAGGCTAAATAGATTATTTTTCCAAAGAAGACGTACAAATGGCCAACACACATATGAAAAAGTGCTCAACATCACTCATTAGTGGGAAATGCAAATCAAAACCACAATAAGATATCATTTCACACCTGTCAGAATGTCAAGTGTCAAAAAGACAAGAAATAACAAGTATTGGCAAGGGTGTGCAGAAAAGGGAACTTTCTTGCACTCTTGGTGGGAATGTAAATGGCGTAGCCACTGTGGAAACAGTATGGAGGTTCTTCAAAATATCAAAACTAGAACAATCCAGTGATTCCACTTCTAGGTATTTATCCAAAGAAAACAAAAACACTAATTCGAAAAGATAGACTCATGCTTATGTTCATTATTTACAATAGCCACGATACAAACACAACCAATTCATCAATAGATGAATGGATAAAAAAGATAAAGTATGTATATATACACTGAAATACAGCTCAGTCATAAAAAAGAAGGAAATCTTGCCATGTGTGACAACATGGACCCAGAGGGTAGGATGCCAAGTGAAATAAGTCAGACAGAGAAAGACAAATACCATATGATTTCACTTATATGTGGAATCTAAAAAACAAAACAAATGAGCAAACAAAACTCACAGATGCAGAGAACAGATTGGTGGTTGCCGGAGGGTTGGCGTGGGTGAAATGGGAGAAGGGGGTCAAGAGGTACAAACTTCCAGCCATAAAATAAATAAGTCATGGGGCTGTCACATGCTGCATGGTGACAATGGTCAACAACATCGGATTGCATATTATGTAACTTTAGATGGCGGCGGGGGGTAGCTAGACTTATTGTGGTGAGCATTTCATTGCGTATACGAAGATCGAATCCTCATGCTGCACACCTGAAACTAATATAATGTTATATGTCAATTATACCTCAATTAAAAAAAATGTCAGGCCTGGATAAACCTTTTCAGCTTCCCTTCACCGAGGGAAAACATCGATGTGGTTTATGAGAAAATTGGGCAGACTGGTTCAATATTGGTACGTTATTATTAACCAAGCTCCGTAGCTTTCATTAGGGTTCACGCTTTTTGTTTTACGATGGGTTTTGATACAAGCATAATGTCATACATCCACCATTATTGTGTCACACAGAGTAGTTTCACTGCCCTAAACATCCTCTGTGCTCCATCTATTTGTCCCTCCCTCCCTCTCTGGGGTCCCCTGAATCCCTGGCAACCACCGATCTTTTTCTTGTCTCCATAGTTTTGTCTTTTCCAGAACGGTCATGTGGTTGGGCTCACAGTTTGTAGCCTTTGCAGATTGGCTTCTTTTACTTAGTAACATGCATTTAAGGTTCCTCCATGTCTTTTCATGGCTTAAGAGCTCATTTCTTTAGTGTGGAATGGTACTCCATTGTCTGGATGTGCCTACCCCTTACCATACCCTAGACATTGACATGAGTGCTAAAGAGATCCAAAAGGGGCAAAGAATCAGTGTGCACCTTCGAGGAACTTCTGGTCTAGTTGGGGAGAGAAGACACACACACAGCCATACAAACTCAGCTAATAATGAAGCAGGGAGTTGGACGGGCCGAAACAACACACATGGAATGAGTAACTGTGGCTGCAGTTATGGCGCCTACTATGGCGCAGGAAAAGTTCGAGAAGCTTCTACCGAGGAGGTGCAGTTAGACAGGTGCAGGGTGAGACAGAGAGGATGGAGAGGGTGTTCAGGAACACTCCATGTGTCTCAGCCTTTGACCTTGTGTCCCCTCTCATAGTCTGTGCACAGAAAAGAAAGAAAGGGGGAATGACATACCCACAGCATGTCCATTTCGCTGGTGGGAGACTGTCCCTGCATGGGGAGTTTGACAATTAGCTTACAGGTGGATGAGCTCATTCCCTCTCTTGACAACTGAATGACTAGAACCAGGGAGCTGGTATCTTTATTAAGTTGCATCTAGGCATCAAAGCCTCTCAAATCTTTAGCTGAACTCTGTGTGTGTGTGTGTGTGTGTGTGTGTGTGTGTGCATGTGTGTGTGTGTGTGTGTGTGTGTGTAGTATAGAGTTTATTTTAGAAGAGATCATTATCTTAATACTTTTTTGGTGGTGAGATAAGTTGTAGGATACTAGGACATTTTTATTCCAGCCTTCATATCTTTCCTGCATTAAAAAAAAAAATACAACACAGAATGTTTCCTGAATTTGCATGTCGTCATTGTGCATGGTTGATGCTGATCGTCTCCATATTGGCCTGACTTTACTACATGCTCTGTCGAAGCGAGCACTATACCACTTTTTAATATGGTAAAATATAACATAAAGTTGACCATCATAAGCATTCTTTAAAATTATTTATTTATTTTTGGGGGGGAGGGGTAGAGGGAAAGGGAGAGAGAATCTCAAGCAGGCTTCCCACTGAGCTTGGAGCCCAAAGCCAGGGCTCGATCTCATAACACTGAGATCATGACCTGAGCCAAAATCAAGACTGAGCCACCAGGTCCCCCATCTTAAGTGTTTTTAAGTGCACAAGGAGGTGGCATAAAGTCATGATCACCCTCCATTTCTAGAACTTTCTCATCTTCCCAAACAGAAGCTCTGTACCCCCTTAAATATTAACTTCCTATTCTCCCCAGTGTCCCGGCCCCTGGCAACTGCCATCCCACTTTCTGTCTCTGTGACTGCGACTGCTCTAGGGACCTCATCTAAGTGGAATCATGCAGGATTTGTCCTTTCCTGACTGGCTCGCTGGTCTCCAGAGTGGCTACCCATTTCCTGTTCCCACCAGCGGGGGTGCAAGGGTTCTGATTTCTCCCCATCCTAGTCAACGCTTTGTATTTTCCGTTGGTTTTGTTTGTTTTGTTTTGTTTATTTGTTTTTTAAAAAGATTTTATTTATTTATTTGACACAGAGAGAGAGATCACAAGTAGGCAGAGAGGCAGGCAGAGAGAGAGGGGGAAGCAGGCTCCCAACTGAGCAGAGAGCCTGATGCGGGGCTCGATCCCAGGACCCTGAGATCATGACCTGAGCCGAAGGCAGAGGCTCAACCCACTGAGCCATCCAGGAGCCCCTGTTTATTTGTTTTTAATAATGGTCATTCTCATGGATGTGAAGTGGTCTCTCGTTGTGGTTTTGATGATTTTAGCTAAACTTATTTGGTGGGGAAGAAGTGGAGAGTCGTGATTACTACATGGGATGTTCCCTGGGGGTGGACTCAGCTTGGGCATCAGAAGGCCTGTTATATAAAATATTTATAAAATGTTGAAATCCCTTCCATGTGCCTCGTCCTCCTTCCTCACGGATTACTAGTACTATCACTTCATAGGTAAAAATTTCTTTTAAATATTTAATTGCCGACAGACAGGCCCATAGAATTGTGTTTTATCTTTTGCGAATTCATTTTCTTTATTTTACTTTAATGGCTTTTTAAGTTTATTTATTTCTTTAGGCATCTCTATACCCAACGTGGGGCTTGAACCCTGAGATCAAGCGTTGCATGTTCCTCTGACTGAGCCAGCCAGGGGCCCCTATTTTGTAAACATCAAGCAAGTTCAAATTCGGGGGACATAAAGGTTGGGGGCTTGGTGCGGGGAGGAGAGGAGCGCAGAACTGGGAGCCATCCTTCATGTCTTCTTTCTCCCACCTCTGTTAGCAGGATTTGTGTTTCTGCTTTTTCAACACATTCCAGTGCCTGTTGTCAAGCCCCCATGAAGACTTTCCAGGAAAGCCAAGGCCAAGGCTGGGCTAATTTGGCTGGTAAATAAGCAACGAGCCACTTTTAGATTTTTGACACTTTCTTACTTACAAAAACAGTGAAAGGAAGATCATATGAAAGTGCTGGCTCCCTGGGTGGGGGGGGTCGTCCCACGCCACAAAGGGCGCCACTGAGATAAATGGGCCTGGACAGTCTAATTCCAGGCCGGCAGTACACAACAAGGAGGTTTTGTGGTGCGTGGCCCTGTCCTGTGGCAGAAGGTATGTAGGTCTCCTACCTCATCAGAACCCAGGAATTGCTCCTGCAAGCCTCCCGGGGGAGATAAGGAGGTGTTATGGCTGAATTAGGCACCCCCCCCAACTGCAATTCGAATCTTGGGGCCCTAACCTCCAGTACCTCAGAATGTGACTGTATTTGGAGGCAGATTTTTGTAAAGAGCTGAAGTAAAATCCTGTGGGTGGGCCCTCACCCGATCTGACCCGTGTCCTTGTAAGAAGAGGCAATTAGGACACTGCCACCACACAGGGAAAAGGACGTGAGCACACAGGAAGAAGACAGCCCTCTACAGACCCAGCAGAAAGGCCTGGGACAGATGCCCCCTCACAGCCCTCGGAAGGAACCAACCTAGCTGGCCCCTTGACCTGGGGCATCTAGCTCTGGAACTGTGAGATAACACATTTCTGGGCTTCAACCCCCCGCCCCCAGCCTGTGCGACAGGAGGCGAATGGAAGATAGCTGTTCTCCACAGACTTCCATCTTCTTGTGTTCCGCCAGGACCCAGATCAGCTGAGGTTCCAGCCCTGCCTGTGTGAACATGTGGCTGGTCACTGGGACGCCATGGTGGACCTAGTGGTTCCTAGGGGACCACCTGCCTGTAACCCGCTTTGTGGACGAGGAGAGATTGTGCTAGCCATGGCTTTCGAAGATTTTAATGCACCTATGTACGTTCACTTGTCAAGTATTGTTTTAACTTTAAAATGTTTATTTTAGGGGCACCTGGGTGCCTCAGTGGGTTAAAGCCTCTGCCTTCGGCTCAGGTCATGATCCCACGGTCCTGGGATCGAGCCCCGCATGAGGGCTCTCTGCTCAGCAGGGAGCCTGCTTCCCTTTCTCTCTGCCTGCCTCTCTGCCTTCTTGTGATCTCTGTCAAATAAATAAATAAATATTTTTTAAAAAATGTTTATTTTAAGGGGCGCTTGGGTGGTTCTGTTGGTTAAGCGTTCAACTCTTGATTTTGGCTCAGGTCATGATTTCAGGGTCATGAGATCGAGCCTTGTGTCAGACTCCATGCTGAGAGTGGAGCCCACTTAATATTCCCTCTCTCTCCCTCTGCCCCTCCCCCCTCTTTCTCTCTCTCCCTCTCTTAAAAAAAATTATTTAAAAAATCAGACTATACTCTGCCTACCTTTTCACAAGACCCCTCTTTCACTTAATGGGCAATATCATGGGCTGTGCCACAGACAGTCTTACAGTGGCGTCCTGACCCCAGGATCGCAGCCACAGAAGTGTACTCTTGAGGTCAATACCTTCCACGGGGGGTCTTCTGAGTCCATTGTGGCAGAGATGACTTGACAGGTGAACCAGTAAGAGGACCGTTGTTCGTGGGGCGCCCAGGTGGCTCAGTCGGTTAAGTGTTGGATCCTTGATTTCGGCTCAGGTCGTGATCTCTGGGCTGTGGGATGAAGCCCCGAGTCGGGTTCTGCCTGCTTGGGATTTTCTCTCTCTCTCCTTCTCTCTCCGCCCCACCCCTGCTCCTGCTTTCTTTCTCTCTCTAAGAAATAAAATAAAGAAACAAAGCTTGTGCTTTCTTTCTTTAAGAAGTAAAATAAAGAAATATTAAAAAAAGAGAGAAAGAGAGAGAACCATTGTGTTTTCAATGCCAAAGGTCAGGGTGTCTTAGAATAGGGCAGTTTCAATGAAGATGGAGAAAAATAGGTACATCTGAGATATGTAGAGTGTATGTCAAATCTCATCCTCCCCGCTCCCTGTTGCACTCCCTTCTCTAGCTCATATGTGAAAAGTCTTTTTAGACATGTAATGCCCACAAATCTCCACATATAAAGTTCTGTTTTATCTTTTGTTTGTTTAAAAAGTGGTACCATGCAATATCTATCTCTATATATTGTAATATCTATATTTTTGCAGGATGGGTTTTTTTTTTTTTCACTTGACAGTGTGTGGGCAGCCTTACATATCAGGACCCATGTCTCTTATTCTCTTTTCTTACCAACTGTGTACTATTCCAAGTCAGGATTAAGATATATTAAGATAGATATATATATATGTATATATATACATATATATATATATACATATATATTTTTAAGTAGGCTCCACAGGGCCTCAAACTCACGCCCCTGAGATGAAGACTTGCGTTGAGATCAAGAGTTAGACAGTTAACTGACTGAGCCACCCAGGGGCCCCTAGATAATAATTTTTTTAAACCATATCATTATTTGTAAACACAGAGGTTATTCTCACTATTTTTTAAAAGATTTTAGTTATTCATTTATTTTTTTAAGATTTTATTTATTTATTTTGAGAGAGAGAAAGAGAGCAGAAGCAGGGGAGTGGCAGAGGGAGAGGGAGAGCAGGAAGCCCAGTGCGGGACTTGATCTCAGGAACCTCGCGATCATGACCTGAACTGAAGGCAGACGCTTAACTGAATGAGCCACCCAGGTGCCCCTATTCATTTATTTGGCGGGGGGGAGTGCGAGTATGGGGAGGGGCAGAGGGCGAGGGAGAGAATCTCTAGCAGACGCTCCACTGAGCACAGAGCCAGACGTGGGGCTCGATCCCACAACCCTGAGATCATGACCTGAGCCGAAACGAAGAGCTGGACACCTCACGACTGAGCCACCCAGGCGCCCCTTGACCCCACTATTTTTTAGGCTTCCAATAAACACCCTTGGACATTCAGGTTTGTTCTCTCTGGGGTTTCTGTAAGAGAGATTCCAGATGGCAAGTGTTGTCAAGAGAAAGATACCCGACAGCAATGTGTTCCTATGTGCACCCAAAGTCACATGCTAGAATGTTCACAGCAGTACTATTTACAATAGCCCCAAACTGGAAACCACCCAAATGTTCTTCAGCAGTACAACAGAACAACCCAGCGTGGTCTGGTCGTGCTGTGGAATTCTATGCACCAACAAAAATGAAGGTTCCGCTTCACAGAGCAATATAGATAAGGCTCAAAAGTATAATACCTGGTGAAAGAAGCTAGACGCAGAAGAATATATACTATATAATTCCATTCATGAAATGTTCAGAAACAGGCAGATCCTGCTAGGGGTCAGGATAGTGGTTACCTGGGGGATTTACTGAGTAGGAGAGAACACGGGGACTTCTGCGCACTGATAACGCTCTCCTCTTTTGGACTAGGCGATAGTTACATGGACATGTTCCGTGTCTGAGCCACACACTTCCCGTCTATCAGCCTTTTCTCTATGCATGCTCTATTTCCATAAAATGTTTCCCTGTATTTCATTAAAGGCGTGTGTATTCAAAATAATCACTGGAACTGCAAATCGCCCTCCAAAAAGGTTGCACCCACTTACATGCTCACCAACAA